TGTGTATTTCTTAGCGTAGGGAGTGGAGAAGTTGTTATATACAGCAAAAGTCTACCTGATTTTTAATAAGAAAACATCTGTCCTCTGGGACCAAAGGTTGTGAATTGGAAAGAATCTGTGAATGCAAGACAGGCTGAAATAGATGAATGACACTCTGATATTCCCATTGAATGAGGCTGGGGTTTATCAAAATGTAGCATGCCACTACTGAAATATTGTGTTTATCAAGTATTCTTTGATACAGGGAATATTTTTAATAGCTGGGCTGCTGGTATTCATTCTTCAGTTTGTACAAAATATGGCTGCATAAGCAAAAGAAATAAGTTTTTTAATATCCAGCCTTTAGACCTTATTTGTTTAAAACAAACATGCGGCTACAAATGAAGTTTTGCATAAGTAAAGTCTGCCAGATCTTTCCCTTTAATTGTTGTTTGTTATTTTTAGAATATGAATACCAAATACTCATTTAGGAATCTGTTTGTCTAACAATGGAAAAACCAGTGATATTGTGAATACGTAATCTTATAAATGGTATCAGTCTTCCAAAAAGAATGAATCAACCTGAAAATTGCTTTCCAATGAGCCTGCCTTAAATCTTGCTGAAGTCATTTACAGCTGTGCCAAGGGGTTGTAAAAGGCTACCATCCTGACTTCATAGCATTTTTTCACTTCTTTTGCAAAGGTGTAAATGACAACACAAGGTGTGAAACAGTAGGGAACTGGATCCAGTGAGACTAACTTCTATTGCCAGTAAAGTTATCATTCCTTTGACTTCTAAGCATTGTGTTATTTTTTCTCTTTCAATATTTGTTTTATTGTTTTATTGGGAATCAAAATGAGATTTGCAAATGATATTAAATGTAGGATTTTTTAGTTTAATTTTTGAGGAAGATTGGCACTAGATTTAGTTTTCATAATTTTCTGGTACATTCCTAGTTCTCCATTAGTTCTGAAAAATAATTCAGGGTACAGTAATTGTATTTATACAGTTCTCTAATATCCTAGGATGCACATCATCTAATTGGTATATTTTCAAATAATGTTCAAAAGAGCACTGTTTATAGAACTGTTTTACTGTCTATACTGTTTACAGAGCTGCTCATTCTGTTCCCTTCTCTGATATAGTGTCTATTGCACACCCCTACTGGTACCCCATCTTGTGTTTTATCAGTTAGTACTTTGATCCATAAGCATTCCAGGTTCTGTCCTTCTGAATTTTCAGTAACCCTAAAGCAGACTCTGGAGAACCAAGGTGGGAGAAACATATTCCACAGGTGAGAGCCCCTTGTGGAAAATACCTACAGCCTCACATTTAAATTAAAGGGCCTGAATTCAAACACCTCATTGGATTTTAGCACTGCCTGTCATGGAGTAAGACATGCAAGATCTCGGAGATGCAGGAAAAATTCATCTTTAAAAGTCAAGTTGAATTAGTCAAATCCTCGATGGGCAAAAGTAGAGTCAAATTAATTGTTTGTACTTATCTTCCACCTGCATTTTTCACCTAGATTCTACATTGAGCGACACTATAAATACCTTCGATTAGATCAAACCAATAGGCAATACTACCAGAATGTTGACCCATGAGAGGTCACAGAAAAGTGTGTGGAAGGTGAGCAGTGCTAAAGGAGATAAGTTCAGAGAATGTGAATTCAGTAAGGGAGAGAGTGAGCAATGCTTAATCCTAAATATTGTCTTTGTGCTGCACAGTTTATTAAAACATGGGAGGGGGAGGGGGGACACAGCTGACTGTGACAGGTACAAGCTGGTTGATTGTTCTGAGCAGAAGAGAACCTGGAATTGTTTGGGCAGATTGAAAATGTATTTTTTAATTAATTTATTTCAAGGCAAATTATACCTTTTACTTATGAGAAATCATGTTCAGACTAGAGGTGGGTCTCCCTAGGTTGGATCCATTGATGACTGATATTCTCTTTCTTTCTGTTTCCCATTTATCTTCTCCTTCCCTCTCCACTACACTCCTTTTTTCCCTCCCTCCTTCCTCCCCCATATTCCACCCTTTCATCTTAGGACATCTTCCTCCCCACCCATCCTTTTTTCAAAGACCCCTGTCTTTCTTCTCATCTCACAGTCCCTTCTTTTTTACTTTCTTCTCCAGCCCCCTACTCTTCCTTCTAACAGTATCTCTTTCTTCCAGACTCTCTCCTCTCCGTCGTCTTTAGTGGCGTCTCTTCGTTCTTCTCCTTTCCAGGACTCTGTCTCCCTCTGCTGATGGTCCCAATCTCTTTTTCCCCTTCACTATTTCATCCACTTCTGCAGACCATTGCTCTCTCCTCAGTTTCCTTTCTGCTACTGCCTCTCATTTTTCTAGATCACTAATCAAATATGCTGTTCTCGATCTAACTAACCTTATAACTGATTCCCTTTGCCTTTACTCCCTGTCAGTCACTGAGGATCCCTTTGACAAGATGTTTCCCTCTGCTGTAGTGTTACAATTAAAATTATCTGAAGTTGAGTGCTAAAAATCCCCATTAGACAAATTTTGTAACTGTGTGCAGTGGCATTCATCTTAATTAATCTACACAATTCCAAAAAATGATTATCATATTTTGAAGCATACTGGTGATCAGCCTGAAATTTCTTCTGCTGAACACACATTGTGGAGGTGCTGTGTGTGTTTTGGGGGGAGGGGGAGGGAGAAGTACTTGGCTATTGATTATACATATTTCATAATGACATGGACTGGTGATGTGATTGTCAGTTTTCAGATTGGGGTTGATTACTAGATCCATGCAGCGTGAATACTCAGTTAATGGAAAAAGAGGGAAAGAGGAAAACACAGTAAAGATATTCAAATTCCTCTTTTCCAGTCAGGAATAAGAATATTCTAGGTTGTGGCATCTAGTGACCTGTAGAAATAACTAGTAAGAGTCTTGTAGTGCTTCCTGTATCAAAATGCACAGTCTCTTTGATATGGCTTTTCAAAGTTCATTCAAGTCCATGCCCCCTCATTTTGGCAGGACTGATTTTATTATTGCTGATGCGTGGGTGAGTGTCAAGTCTGATAGCATTTAAAAACTCCCCATATCAGTTCGTTCCACTACTGAGCTGTTTGAAGAGTTATACATATACCAATGTTTAGGCTAAATTTTCTCTTCTGTACCTTAAGCCTATTCCTTATTGCCCTGTTTTTATTGACTAGGAGTTTGTGTATGTCTCGACTAGAGTACAGGGTGTGATTGCAGCTCAGGTAGACATACCTGTGCTAGCTTTAATCTCACTAGTTTGGGTCCCAGAGCAGTGAAGCTGTGGCAGTATGCATTTAGCGGCGGCTACACATGCCTCTGCAGAACCTTGGGTAATTACTCATGGGGCTAGCTCTCACTGAAGCGTGTGCCACTGCAGCTTCTCTATTCCATGACATGAGCGAGCTAGATTAAAGCTAGCTTGAGTATGTCTATGCAAATTGCCATCACGCCCGATAATGCCAGTAAAACTCATGGTCCAAGAGGAGATTAGGTTAAAAACAAATAATCAAAGCTTACTTGATCTTTTCCATAGATGCCATTAACCCAGCCATTAAAACTATGTGTACATACTACTATAGTGGGAAAGCCATGAAAAAGCATAGTTAAAAGCATTGGATCACCCCTACTGTGCATTTTCTGTAATGATCTGCTGTTGATAGCTTAGACTGGAGATGGGCCCACACTCCAAAATTTGGACCTGGATTTGAATACTTTAAAATGCAGCACCCACAGATTCTGACTTCTGAAGAACACAGACATAGAGGGTGGAAAGATTCCCCCATGCTCTGAGACCAGTTTAAATTCACAAGGAATCTAACACGTAGGATTAACCAGCAAGGTTTAAAGGGCTGATCTCTGCTCAAAGCTCCAATGTAGACCAGGAGAATTTTCCTTCTCAAACTCATACTTGACAATTAGTTTATCATTTCCCTGTGCATTTGAGCAGGAATCAACCATAATTCACATAGTAACCCAATTGATTTTTACAGGATATGAACTGAGTAGTTTTGCCATAAGTGTGTACGACAGTCATTGAAGGTCTAGTATAGATGACATTTTTCTGAAAGTGAGTTCATACTGGAGGTGCTCACTGACCTTTATACCATAGAGGTGGTGTGGGTTCATGGCTTAGGGAGGATTGGGGATTTTGGGACAGCTGTGATGAATAGTCACATCTGGCTTCAGGAGTATTTTTGATAATCTCAGACTGGCATACAGTAACCCTCTGTTCATATGCTTTTTTGGCACTGCTAGTGAAATGAGATTTCTATAATCTACAAGTCACATGGGAGGATTTGGGTGGAAGGATGTATGCATGTGTCCAAATCTATGTACTTTCGCAAGAAAAAAACTTTTACACCAAATCCACATGGGCACTTCACGGCTTACCTATTTCCCCCAAAAGGCCATGTAAGCATAGGGCCAAATTCCTCCTGGACGTAGCTCCATTGGACTTAACCTGAATTACACCTGGAATGAATGTGATCCATAATGCCCTTAACACTTCAAGCTCTTTTGATACTGTACAAAAGAGAGAGAGAGAGTTTCTTTCTGTTTCCACTCAGTGTAATGTCATGTCTTTGTATAATATGTTTAAGCATGTCTGCCCTGTCACTTACCACTGATGCTTGCATGCTCTTCTTTAAGACTACCACCCTAGAAGGATTACTCCTTTGCATTGTGCAGGTATTTAAACAGGTAACTTCCACCATTCTTTAGTGGAACTGTGATTAGCTACTTGTCCTCCTATTCATGTCATCAATTTCTGCCCTGGGAGCAGAATACTAAATATTTACCTCTCAATAAGTAATTTGGGGTATTGCTCTACTCTTTAGTTTTAATTTTGCTTTTAAAGGATTGAAACCAGTTGTATAGAGAAACTCCATGTTAGTTTTTCTCTCTTCTTTTTGTTCTCGAGATACATCAATATTCCAGTTATTTGACCTGTCCATCGCTTCAATATAGCAAAGGTAGCAATCAAAGTAAATATTTCCATGTCTTTTCTTTTAGATAAAATTGAAGATGAATTAGAGCTGACCACGGTGTGCTATCGTCCAGAAGGACTGGAACAGCTTGAAGCACAAACTAATTTCACAAAGAGGGAACTTCAAGTGCTTTACAGAGGATTTAAAAATGTAAGAACCACATTGCAATGAATTGGCTAGTGTATATTTCACCACCACCCCACTGCTGCACAGTATCCAAACTACTCACCTGTGTTCCATAGCTTTTATCCTGGTAACAATGATACAGAGATTCATTTTGGAGGCTTGGTCTTTTGAAGCAGGAGGATCTGAGTTCTAACCCTCTTATTGCCACAGCGAAATATACATGAGTAAACCCTTATACATATTTTTCTTGGCATCATAATCTGCTTTAAACTAGAGCTGAATGAATATCCTTCACGTGATTAACTCAGCAAATTTAGTTGGTTTGTCCTGATTCACATGGCAATTTCCTCAAATGCACTTGTAGGTTGAAATTACCTCACAATATTTTTTTCTCACATTTTTTTTAACTCTTTGGATTGATCACAAAGAGTTTGCTGTAACTGATTCTTTATATTAAAAACTGAGCTCTCTTTTTAGTTGCTACATATGCTTGAATGCCATTTATAGGACCCTACCAAATTCACAGTCCATTTTGGTCAATTTCACAGTCATGGGATTTTTAAAATTGTAAATTTCATGATTTCAGCTATTTAAATGTGAAATTTCACAGTGTTGTAATTGTAGGGATCCTGACCCAAAAAGGAGTTGTGGAGCGGTCACAAGGTTATTGTAGGGGGGGTTGCGGTACTCCTTTCCTTACTTCTGCACTGCTGATGGGGGCGGCCCGGCCTTCAGAGCTGGGCAGCTGGAAGGCGGTGGCTGCTGGCTGGGAGCTCAGCTCTGAAGGCAGAGCCGCCACCAGCAGCAGCACAGAAGTAAGGATGGCATGGTATGGTATTGCCACCCTTACTTCTGCGCTGCTGCCTGCAGAGCTGGGACCTCAGTCAGCAGCCGCCATTCTCTAGCCGCCCAACTCTGAAGGCAGTGCAGAAGTAAGGGTGGCAGTACCATGAACCCCCTAAAATAACCTTGCGACCCCCCCGCCTCCCCCGCAACTCCCTTTTGGTTCAGGACCCCCAATTTGAGAAACACTGTTCTACCCCGTGAAATCTGTATAGTATAGGGTAAAAGAACACAAAAGACCAAATTTCATGGGGGGAGACCAGATTTCACAGTCCATGATGCATTTTTCATGGTCATGAATTTGGTAGGCCCTACCCATATACTAACACATTATTAACTATTTGAATATATATCAACATTTCTCTTGTCTATGTCATAACTGTGATGGGGGAGCCAGGCAGCTCTCCCACCCCCTGCTGTGTCAAATACTGTCCTATCTCATTCCAAATATCCTGTCCAGTGCTAAGAGATCACACATGCAAGCTTGACAATCCCTTTCCACAAGTATTAATTAGAGTAACACTTTGTTACTGAAGTACTTGCAGATAGTAAAAACAAGATGTGCAGGTCTAGGAGAAAATAAATTTTTAAATTCAAATGAATACTCTGAGCTTTTTTTGACATAGTGCCACCACAACTCTGTGAAGAAAACTTCGTCTACACATAGATCTCCCCTGATTCCAGCAATCTGCATAGCTATGCTGGTACACCCCCTTCATGTGGCTTAGTGTTATTTGCACTGTTGATATTTACCCCAAGGTTTGGCAGAGGTGAGATCCACTAGTGCAAATTGCATCTTTACCATTGTAAATCCATAGTGTTGATGGGTAAAGTTGCATCAGTGGCTGGAACTGGAGCAAATCCCCAGAACCCTTAAGTACATCAATCGTACTTCATACTAAGATTCTACATATGCAAGGTTAATCAATGGTAGATGTTGTTAGCACATTACATACATGAGTAGGTTGTTTTATAGACCATTATAAGCATATTAGTATAAGGTATTGTAGATGGTTATAACCCATGGCTGGTAAGCAAAATTTTGGACTCTCTAATAATTATTCAATTACGTATTAATACATCTATTATTCATTTATTAACTGTAAGTAGGACCTTCAGCTTAATATAAGAGATGATTGCTCTGTCTCTCTCTGTGCCCCATTCCTGTTGTCTCTGCTCTCCTCTACCCACGTACATGTGCAGAAAGTCTCACACTTTCTCTGTTCATTTGATTCAGGATGCAATCAGATTCACTTATGATAAAGTACATCAAATGTCTCCACCAAACAGATATGTTCTTTATAATATAAAGTAAATTTCACTCTACACTGATCATATATTTTCATTAACATTTCTCCTTTCATAGAGTGTTTTGCCATATATTTGCCACAGGAAGTAAATGTCTTTTGCATGTGTATTTCCCTCTTATCTATCCATGCATGGGTACTTTTTTTTAATATATAGCATACCTTCATAATATGTTGGTTTGCTGGGACAGAGTTGGGCTGAATTATCAGTTGTTTCATTTAGTTGAGTTTTCAAAGAAAAAATTATAGCTCTTCATAAATTTCACATGCAGCATATACACAATGGGCCATATGCTGCAGTAACATACACCCTACCCATTCTAATTGATTTAAGTGGAAAATCTGGCTCAGTGTCAGTAGTATCTCCTAACCTGCCTGTCCCATGGAAATTTCAGTTTCCAAGCCCTGGCTGCTGGCCCATGAAAGCTCCGTGGGACTGAGCCTGATCTCATAGATCAGTGATACTTAGATTACAGTGGTTCAGGAGCTAAATTACTGATCAGCATTACCCAAAAGAGCCACAGTAGTGTGAATTCATTGTTTCATTTACTGTAGTATTATATATTCATATTAAGACAGCATGATGGGAAATATTTAGTGTGTTTGTGTGTGTAGATAGATATAGATATAGATATATATTATTCTCACAGCAAAATGACTGACCAAGTATTATTTTATGAGCTACAATTGGTTAATAACATAGTAAAAGCATTCTCATTGGTTGTTAACTTAGACTGGTTAATCGTTTAAATCACACAGTATTTTAATATCGTGTCGAAAAGAGCTGCAGGAGACATATTAAAGAGCCGCTTGCACCTCACGAGCCTCAATCTGAGTACCACCATGTTAGATTCTTGTTACCAAAGGTAATCCCATAGAAGTCAAGTACTACTCCACTGCTAAGTATTACTCTCAGGAGCAAGGGTTTGTGGAATCAGGCTCTGAGTCTACCTAGCTGCAGAGGCAGCCCCCATTTTGAGGAAGAACCTAACCCCACCCTACAACTACAGAATGCTGCTTGTGGGTGGAATCTGTCTGTCCACAGCCCACTGGCTGCATTCTAACTTGTGAATTCTGTTGAAATCAAACCAATTACTCTGGGCTGGATGGTGCTCTGAGCAAGGGGCAGGGCCAGCCCACAACATTTTGGCACCTGAGGCGGGGAGCTCAAATGACACCCCTATGTCCCCTCACTTGGGCCAAAACTTTGAAAGGTCTCAATTCTGCATTCTTCCTGTCTTACTTCTCTCATGGTACTGCTCTGCTACCTACCCCAATAAAGGAGAACTAACAACTTAAAATGCCTTGTTCAAAAATTTTAAGTAACACTTAACTTTCAAACACCTGAACAGCAAATGTAACTTTTCTTGTCTGCATAGTAAACACTGGCATTTTTATCTGTTTGAATAATCAAAGTGGTGCTTTCCGTGCCTTCTTGGTTGCAAAGATTTGAACTGCTTCCTGCTGAAGGTCCACAGTCTGGGCCAGCTCATGCTCTACTGAGATGGCTGCAAGGCCGACCAGCCTCTCCTGTGTCATTGTGGAGCGTCGATGTGTTTTTATTAACTTCAGCTTGCAGAAACTGCGTTCTCCACTGGGAACTATTACAGGAAGTATGTGCAGAACAACAAAAGCATTTGGAAAGAGGGTGGTCATCTTATTTGTGTACATATATTCCAGAACAGCCTTTGGAGTTGTTCCTGCTGAAATGTATCTTGAAAGGGCTTTCAGTTCATCCCCTAAATCACTTGCATCAATATTGCGCATGTCATCATGTGTCAACACTGTCTCTAGTGCACTGAATTGCTGGTGTACATCTTCTTCAGGTATAGTGAGGAGTTTTGGAGTATCATACAACATCCCAAATATACTGCTGTGTTTCTTGAGCTGCATGAAATGTTCTTCAACTGACTGTATTGCACAATCTAGCACCCGGTTAAAGAATTCAACTTTGAATTGTTTTTTGGGGTCTCTTATGGGATTATCCCGTGCCTCGTAATCAAAATGTCTTCTTCGGTGACTCTTGTATTCTTGAATGGGTGGGAAAATAGCTTCCTATGTATCTCAGGAGAGCTCCTTCCTGCTTAGATAGAAAGCTTCCTTTGCTTTCTTTCTTTTTCTGAATGCTGCCCCAGAGGGACGTTTTCTTCTTTCACTCATGACTGCTGTTCTATGCCAGCTATAGTGGCTCTCAACACTCAGTTGAAAGGAACAAATAAGCAGGCTGATAGCAGGGTCTGAATGAGGGAAGATATCAGCATCTTAAGGGCCTAACTGGCTTCTACTATTTCAGTTGACTGCCCTTGTTCTCCTCAAGTGGGTTCAGGGAAGCAGCAGGAAACAGGATGCTCCCTGAGAAGCTGGTGTTAATCAGTCCAGGCTCCTGGGGTGCTAGAGAGGTACATAAGAGGCTCCTCCGCCTCTCTCTCCCTGCAGCTCCTGCCTAGGGTGACCAGACATCCCGATAAAATCGGGACCATCCCGATTTTGAGCTGTTTGTCCCGCGTCCCGAGTGATCTGTGGCCGTCCTTCCTCCAGCACAGCACTCCACCATCTCTGTGCATCTAGACCAGAGAGAATACATATGCACCAGCAGAAGACACAATTTTCTACACTCTGGGTCCTAGTGGCACTCCCACCACAGTCTGGCACCTGAGACGGCCTCCTCAGTTCGCCTCATGGTAAGGCCAACTCTGGCAAAGGCTGCCTCACCCCAGCACTTGCCCTTAGAGGCGCGTGTGCCTGACAAACCAGTCTGAGCCACAGTTGCTCCAGAGGGTTGGGGAAGCAAGTTACTGCACTGTTACTTGAAAGGATGCAGTTCACTTCCCCCACCCCAGCTGGACAACATGTGTAGGGTGGGTGTGGCCAAAA